ATGTTGAGCCACAACTCATGTTGAGCTGTAAAGTCATGTTGAGCTGGCAGGCACTCTGGAGGAGTGCCCAGGTTGCGAGCGAGCGAGCAACCAGGGGTTGTGACGCTTAGTCACAACCTTGGCACGATTAGAACTACAGCTACCCCAGTTGCTCTAAGAACCCACAATCCCATACTCCACTATCGGACACCGGACTTGAATTTACGAGGTAAGCCCCACCCAACCACACACAACCATGAACTACCTCCATCTCTTCCGATATTTCCTTTTTTCTCTTAAGTGGAGGAAGGTATACGGTAGCGAGATAAAACTCTTGGTTAAACAGATGCTCTCGGTTCCTATTGGACGCGCACCCCGCATGGACCGCCAACGGCCTTATTCCCCGCTTCATAGTGCCGTAATCCTTGGTGGAGAGGAATTCCGTTCTGTCAAGACTTCCGTCTAGTAAGCGCCTGTGCCGCCCCCGGAGTGCGGTAGAAACAAGCCACACGCCCACCCATTAGGGCCGATCGGTCTTGGGTTGCTTATTGACTATCAGGCTTAATGTAGGCGCCAGCGACATTTCCATGACAGAGTTCCCGACCGCCCCCGGGCCCGCCAGGGAGCCTGCCAAGGGCCTTGGAGGAAACCGGACAGCTAGGCGCAGTCCGTCCCAGGCAGTAAAAGTGGAGGAAAACTGTCTTCAGGGTGAAGGGTGGGCCCTCCGGGGTGAAAGAGTGCTAGCAGGGGGGACGGTGGGGACCTCCAGGGACGGCAAGGGACCGTTGGGAACAACTTATTATCCCACAACAATCGCAGAAATGGTTGAAAGCTTGTCACTGACTAGGTAGTTTTGATTGTGGGGATTCATGCTACAGGGTGGTAGTCCAAGGTAGTCACTCCAGTCCTACATCTCCCTGGAGTAGTCTGTCCTATAAATGGTGATGGCCATGATCAGACCGTGACTGAGTTTTGCTCAAGCAGATCATGCTCGATCACCCTCGATCACAAGGGTTACTCAATCAGATCATTCCCGAGCGGGGCACTCATGATTTGCTCGAGTTGCTTCAGTAGGGGTACTGCTCGACCAGGTTTGATCATGATCAATCATGATCGATGACTCTATCAATACATATATATATCTGTCCTGGAAATTGCCCGATATCTATTAATATAATTACTGTCTACACCGCGCACCCAATAACATATCCCCAACAACACACTCCACCACTGAACCCCTGACATGACTGACCCTCCAATTCACTTGTCTAAAATGTCCCCACTCCAGACGATGATCTCATGAAATCCCAAGTTGATATCTACCTACAAGACCCAAGGGTAGATCAGAATATAGATATCATCCAGCGGTCGAAACCCCATGGACAGCGGCAGCCAAATATTGAGTTAATGGCACGGGATGGCCTTTTGACTAGCACCCTTGTGAAGTGTCCCATGAGAGCAATCACCTTCGGCTGTAGGCAATATCGCTACAGAAAAAACGAAATCATAATCAGCTAGACTCAAGTATGCTCGATCATTCGATCATGGGGTCCGCTCGATCGTGATCGTACCCATCACTACCAATAATTGCCAAAAAAAAAAAAAACAGGGATTACAGGATGTATTCCGTCCTGTCCTACCCTATAGACAAATGGAGTAGACAGTTGGGAACATTGCTGCAAGACCAGTTCTTGGAATTTCCCAAACAAGAAGCATGAGTGGTAGGTTGGTTTCTAGTAGTTCGAAATCTGTGATCAGGGCGGCGGGAGTTGAGCGGGTACCATGGGTTTTGCTCATATGAGAGCCGGAAAAGGGAAATTCGAGGATCAGATTTGGGATGTGCTGGAGTTTGAGAAGAGAGATAAGACTAGTGAGGAACCAAAATCAGCGGAAAACGCAGAGGTGGGGAGGGAGGAGGAGTCGGTTAGTGGATAAAGTCTGCACTATATTGAATTGGCGTATTGTACCATTGCAACCGCCCGGGGCCGGAGAGCGACCAGCTTTACTGAATTCCGATCTGCAGGCCGCTGACGGGGAAGGAAACTCAACTCCAGTAACTTTTCCGAGACAAAGCTCGGGAGAAACATATGCCGTGCTACCTCGGACCAGGAAAGTGGCTCTCCTCCCGACTTCAGTGCTCCCCTGGAATTGGGATTACTACACTCCTTCTGCTCCGCGCTCCAGACGGAGTATATCGGATGTTCCATCTCCAGAGGGCTTGCATAGATGTTTGCTAATTTCGGCTGAGCCTGGTGAGTTCTACGGTAGGATCGATTCACAGGAGGAACACTAACCTGGACCGGACGAAATGAAAGATCATTTGCGCTTTTCGGCCTCACGTACCACAGCCCACGTTATACCCCCAACTCTCTCACCGTCCCACCATGGTAAATGAGCTGGTGTGATCGGATACAATTTTGAAATTAGGTTGACAGGTATTGAGCACACTGTGCAATTCAGAATGCTGACGGGAGTCGCTCGGCTTCTAGGACGGCATGGCATGGTTAATGTAAACCCCTAATGGGGTATCGGGGAGAGTGGTGTGCGACAAGCGTTGGTATGATAGTTACTTTATTAGGGTCCGTTTACCTAACCGTCTATTTTCAGAAATTTGTATGGCGGGATTTGACGCTGCCGTCAGCCCAGAGTTGCGCGGCAACAGACGGTGCCAATTGCGTTTACCTAATTTTCAACCGTCAAATATTTTTTTGGGCGCTTGACGGTCAAAACTAGATGTAGCTCCAGAGGTGCGGTAGCGGCCCCGTCAACCTCAAACACTGATACAGCCTGACTTTGCTGGGACTTGCCACGCCCGAAATTGCTATACCACCACCACCAATCAGCGCGGCTTTTCTGGGAACTGTTGTCAACTACCTTCATGGTACCTCTCCTTCCCCCTTTTTTTGTGGCTCCTTTACAGATTTGGACTTTTGTATTGGAGCAAGTGAAGAGGTGCTCTAGATGAACGTAAGGAGTCTTT